CTGTACTTTACATCCTCCTTGGATTCCAGAAGGAATGACAAGAGCTGACAAAGACCAGGAGAAGCTGTTAGAAAAGGGAAAAGGAGTAGCAGGCCTTTCAGCTGGAGACCATCTTGCCCAAATTGTTCAAGGAGTAATTTTCCTCCTTGAATCTTCAATAGGAATAGGGTGTGAAATGTTTCTACTTCAAGAAGGAGGTCCTCCATAAAATGCAGCTTCATAGCAGGTCAAGGATGACATTGCCAGTGGTCATGAAGGTCACCTTGGCTATGAACCTGTATTTTTTTTGACACCTTTATAGGTTAGAGCTGAGTTTGCCATTTATTGTTGCACATAGGATGGTACTTAAGTCAGCTTCATTCTCTTTTTATTCCAGAGGGAAAGCAGACAGCTGCCTTTGAAAGGATAGCAGGCCTCCACACAACTGCAGGATGTCATTGACTCCATGGATATCACTTTTGGGTGCTGCCTGCCAATTCTGGGATGTACTGCATCCAATAGCAATTCAAAACCCTTGATATCCAGCTGAGAATTCCTGTATAGGGCAGGTCAATACCTGGTGTCTTGGCGGCACTCACTCCACCGTACCATCTTCTTCCTTCTGAGGTTCCCATCATCACAGATGCCAGTCTTCAGCCAATTTAGTTAGCTCCACATGGTATCAACGAACAGTTAAAGGCAATTAATATTAGCATAGCAACAATACTGAAGACACATCCCTAGCGAAGCTGTTCCAGTACAACTACAATATAGGCAAATGTACAATGTGCAAAATTGCACGAGTATGACGCCTATAAAAGGCAGAACAAACCTAACCTGCTAATTATTTCCCTATCAGTCTACTCTCAACCATAAAATTGGAAATAAAGGTTTTGAATTTTGGGGAAGGCTGGTTTTATAAAGATAAGACAGATTCTGGCCAAAGTGGACTGGAAGCAGGAAAATCCACATCAGAGCAGTGGAAGATTTTCGAAAGGGTAATCGTGAGAATGCAGGACCAGCATGTTCCTGTAAAGGTGAAAGGTGGAACCAACAAGGTCCAAAGAACCTGAATGTCAACGGGTTGACAGGATCGGACGAGGAAGAGAAAATAAGCTTATGATAGATGCCAAAGGCTCAAAACACGTTCTAGAAAGTTGAGGGTTGCTTAAAAAATTGGTAAGCAAAGAGGGAAAAGGGAAAACACTGGCAGATAACATTAAGGAAAATCCAAGGGTTTTTTTCTTCTTTGTAAGTATATTAGAGACTAGAAAATAACCAGGGAAAGAGTAGTGTCCATTGGAGACCAGAATGATAATTTGTGTGTGGATCTGGAAGACCGAGCTGAGGTTTTAAAAGAGTAGTTTGCATCTGTATTCACATTAGACTGGGTGATGTGTGGTCCTTGGAGGAGTATTCTCTGGCAGAGGACTTTGCAGCAAGTATCTTTCATGAATCAATGGGGCAGAGGAAGCAAGGGATGGTAATGGGTATAGGCACAACCTGCTCAAGCTTTCCTGACAGGATAACTCCTTCATCAAGAATTAGTCAAGTGAACCTTCTCTGACATTATTATTATGTAATTATACATATTCTCAAGAAAGGAGACCAAAACCTAACAGTACCCTGAATAATTCTCACTACAGCCACATCAGCTGTAGCAACACTTCCCTATTTTTATACTTGATTCCCCTTGAAATAAACACCAACATTGAATTTGCTTTTCTAACCACTTGTTGTGCCTGCATCCTAACTTTTCTCATTCAGGTATCAGGGCAATCAGATCCCTATGTAATATAGAAATTTGTAAACTCTCTCAGTTCAAATAATTTTCTGTTTTTCTAATTTTTCCTACCAAGGTGAACAACTTTACATTTTCCACATTATACTCAATCTGTCATTTTTTTCTCAATCACTTAACCTATATAAATTCTTTTGCAGACTCTTTATGTTATCTTGAAAATATTATTTCTACCTACCTTTGTGTTCTCAGCATATTTAGCTCCTATATATTTGATCCCTTCATCCTAGTCATTGATATAAATTATAATAGTTGAGGCTCTAGCATTGGTCTTTGTGGCACTGAGTAACGGCTTGGCAAATCAAAAATTACCCATTTCCCTACCCTCCACTTCCTGTTAGCTAAACAAGTCTCTATCCCTGCTAATATGTTACCCCCTAGTAGACTTTGATGGGTCACCTTGTCGAATACCTTTTGGAAATCCAAGTGCACCACAACTACAAATTGTTCTTTATTCATCTTGCTTGTTATTTCCTTGAAGAATTCTAATAATTTAGCAAGACAATATTTTCCTTTTGCCAAGCCATTCACTCAGCTGATTGTATTATTATTGCACAAGTGTCCTGTTATTACGTCAATAGTGTATTTCAGTGTTTTCCCAATGACAGGTGTTGGACTAGGACCTTTTTTTGGGAGATCATAACCAATGCACCTCCTATCTCTGCGGCAATAGCCGAGGATAGGAATCATAGTACCTGGTGCTGCTTCTGGTGACCACATTTCCATCCTGAGCACAGTAGAATGCGCCCCCTCTAACCTGAGCACAACTGCCCTGCCCTCTCAATTTAAGCACAGTAGCCCCACTCCCTGATCAAATTGTACCAGGCCTCAAATTTCCCTGAGCCCCATGTATTGCGTCTTGACATATTCCAAGTGTCAGCCTCTGTCTGCAGCTACTTCTTTTAAGGAGTCTAGGATACAGGCCATTAGATCAAGGGGGCATGTCAAACTTGAGTGTAATATTTTTCCTAGTACCTTTTCACCTCTTTGTTTTCAAGTATGCTTGAGATGTCTTTTGTATATGCAGCAGTGAAGACTGAAAAAAGACCTGTTCAATGTTCGGCCATTTATGTTGTATTGTTACTTCTCCTGTCTCACACCACAGCACCAATGATCCAAGGTTCACTTTAGTTACTCTTTTATTGAATACCTGTAGAAAGTCTTCCTAGCTGTTTTGATAGTTTTCAAATTAATGTCCTGCCTCCAAGCTGGAACCACCAATCAGCTCATCTGTATTTGAAAATTGCATTATGTCAGTGATGCTAGCAGAAGGTCCAGTGAAAAGTTCTGGCTTCCACTGTAGTGCCTCATGTTGAAAGGTACTCAGTAAGCAGAACACTGCTTGGATGGTCATTGACATTACGTAGAGACTCTCACTTACATCCGTTTTGGAACAAGCTACATTTGGATGCTGAACACTTTGATAGCCCTTGAGCTTCCATATTTGGGGCGGCACAGTGGCTCAGTGATTAGCACTGCTGCCTCACAGTGCCCAGTACCTGGGTTTGGTTCCAACCTTGGGCGACTGTCTGTGTGGAGTTTGCACATTCTCCTTGTGTCTGCATGGGTTTCCTCTGGGTGCTTCGGTTTCCTCCCACAGTCTAAAGATGTACAGGTTAGGTGGATTGACCACGCAAAATTGCCCATAGTTTCCTTGTATATGCAGGCTAGGTGTATCAGCCATGGGAAATGCAGGGTTGCAGGGATAGAGTAAGGGTGTGGGTGTGGGTCTGGGTGGGATGCTCTTTGGAGGGTCACTGTGGACCCAACGTGCTGAATGACCTGCTTCCATGCTGTAGGGATTCTGTGATGATATTACTAATAGAGAACACTTTCTCTTACCTTATTGGCCTTGTATATTTAAAATATAGGAATAGGATTTAAAAAAATAGGAATTACTTAAAACATAAACACATTCCCTGTAAACCTGAGCCAGTTTTTCCTTGCTAGTTGCCACACTCCAGCACTGGTGATCATTCCTTTGATTGCAAAAGCCCTGTTCTCTGGAATTCTCCCTTTAATTTCTCTTGCCATGTTTCATCTTGCTTTTGAAAAGCTCCTTTAAATACTTCTCTTATTTCAGTATATTTGGCATCCATCCCTAATTTTTCATTCCATTTATCTCTTCGTGGCTGTCCATATTTTATCTTATAAAGCATTTTAAATTTTCCTACAGAAATGTAGGTTATCTACACGAATTTCAGTGGAACGTAATGTACAAAAGCGAAACTACAAAATATCCCTGTGGCTGTTTTATCTCGAGTTGCATTGCAGAAACCCAACTGCTTTGAGCTCCTTTATGAATCACGCTAGGAGTATGAGAGAAAGAGAACATACTGGCAAAAACAAAATGAGTGGATGGAATGTTTAATTGTATTTATCCTCTTGGTAAGCACGATAATCCATGTTAGGGATGAAGCTTCAGAGGGCCTTGCTTTCATAGTTCAATTGGGAAAAAAAGTGGTGGTGTGTAGAAGAGAATTACAGATTTCTTATTTCATTCTATCCAGTGTCAGTTTTTTGAGACTACAATCACTTTTCAGAGGAGCTGCTTTGAAATGCCCATTAAGAAATAATTTGGTGAAATTGACCCATGGATCTTTAAGGATTATTAATGCTACTTGAACAGAGTCACAAAAACTACATTGGACCACCAACCTCCGGATCCAACGCAACATCCTCCAACACTTAAGCCATCTGCAATCCGACCCCACCACCAAAGACATTTTTCCCTCCCCACCCTTATCTGCTTTCCGGAGGGACCACTCTCTCCGTGACTCCCTTGTCCGCTCCACACTCCCCTCCAGCCCCACCACACCCGGCACTTTTCCCTGCGACCGCAGGAAGTGCTACACCTGCTCCCACACCTCCTCCCTCACCCCCATCCCAGGCCCCAAGAAGACTTTCCACATCAAGCAGATGTTCACCTGCACATCTGCTAATGTGGTATACTGCATCCGCTGTACCCGTTGTGGCCTCCTCTACATCGGGGAAACCAAGCGGAGGCTTGGGGACCGTTTTGCAGAACACCTACGCTCGGTTCGCAATACACAACTGCACCTCCCAGTCGCGAACCATTTCAACTCCCCCTCCCATTCCTCAGACGACATGTCCATCCTGGGCCTCCTGCAGTGCCACAATGATGCCACCCGAAGGTTGCAGGAACAGCAACTCATATTCTGCTTGGGAACCCTGCAGCCCAATGGTATCAATGTGGATTTCACAAGTTTCAAAATCTCCCCTCCCCCTACCGCATCCCAAAACCAGCCCAGCTCGTCCCCGCCTCCCTAACCTGTTCTTCCTCGCACCTATCCCCTCCTCCCACCTCAAGCCACACCCACATCTCCTACGTACTAACCTCATCCCGCCCCCTTGACCTGTCCGTCCTCCCTGGACTGACCTATCTCCTCCCCACCTACACTCACGTTTACTGGCTCCATCCCCGCCTCTTTGACCTGTCTGTTTCCTCTCCACCTATCTTCTCCTCTGTCCATCTTCTATCCGCCTCCCCCTCTCTCCCTATTTATTTCAGAACCCCCTTCCCCTCCCCCATTTCTGAAGAAGGGTCTCGGCCTGAAATGTCAGCCTTCCTGCTCCTGTAATGCTGCTTGGCCTGCTGTGTTCATCCAGCTCTACACCTTGTTATCTTGGATCTGAATTAGTTTGGTTTTGGTAAATGTGGAAATTGTTCGTTATTTCGATTGTTCACAAACGAATATCCCTTGCATTTATTGCAGATTCGACTTTGTCGGTCTCAGGCACCTTGTATTGTTCTGTATTACATTTTATAATTTTCTGCAATGATACAACAAATTTGCACTCACTGTTTGACAAATGTTCTTTGTACATTGTCTTCTCTCACAATCTTGGCATTAACGAGCAGCATTGATAGCTGTACATTTGCTTGGATGTACTAATGTTTGTTTATAGAGTTAAATTATATCATGGTAAAAGTTTATGGCTGTTGCCCTCAAATAATGTGACAAATGTACAAGAAGTTCTTACAAAAAGTATTTCAGCTTTTTTCTCCCCCTTGTGCTTCTTTAGACATTGACTCACATTGAGTTCCAGAGCTTCAATCACATTCCATTACTCCATCAAGGACACATCTTTAATGGTGAGCTCAGATAGTGAGTACTGATTGAATGCAAGACATAGTAGAGCTGGTCCTATCTAGTAATCACCTAACATCTATTCATTTGGCCTCTTGAATGAGATCACTGGGTTGCAATCAGATGTCAGTATATTGTCTGATTATTTTAATTGAAGATTGTGATTGTGTAACTGCTATGTTGGTGTAGATGAAAATTGATCCTGAGACTTCCATGATTTAACTCAGTGGTATTGTAGGCAATGGATTTAGCCACTAGGCTATAGCCAAGGTTCAACATTCAAAAAGAAGTTAGAGTAATATCAGTAATGAAAATTTACTTCTGAATTGTGATATATATTTTCTCAACTTCAGATTGTGTAAATTTTAATATTGAAAGGTATGATCCCTGTCTAATTTAAAACTAATGGCAGAATTAGAATAAGTGAAAATACAAAACAGAAATTGTGAGCATTTTAGTTCTATTCTTTAAACACAAGATACGAAACATTTAACCCAAAAGAATAACAATGTGATCAGATAAAGAAAATCTTTAATACTAAAGTAGATCTGAAATGCAGAGTAAACATGACATTTTAAATTGATAAATAATTATTCATGAAAAATAGTGTTCACTGATTATTTTATAGTCTTAACAATATTGCACAGTAATAGTAAACTGAAACTTCATTAATTCTTTAGCCAGAGCATTAATAGCCTATCATCATATTTCACTCAGTGAATACAGCTAAACAATCAGCCAACAGCAGGTAAAAGTTTTGTACAAATTCAATTAAGTTGCCTCTCATTCACATAGCCTAAACGCTGCAACGTTTTTCTCTACATTGATACCTATTGATTGCTAAACTTCTCCAAGTGGATACTTTGAGATTGTGAAATGCCACGACATAAAAAGCTGAACGCCAAATCAAGTGATGGTAATCAATCTCCATTAAAATTCTATTGTATAAGAAGTAAAATTATGTTTGTGTATGTTTATCAAAGTAAGTATTCCTGTTTTTTCTGCTTTTGAAAATGTTAGCATGCATTGTGCTTAATTTGATTGCAAGCTAATTTTCTTTACTACTTTATTGGTTCATAGTACCACTAATCCATTGTGATGTATATTGAATACCCAAGTTGCTGAACACTACAATATTCAAAAAAATAATGTATACAATTTTCCCGACAAGAGTCTAAAAAATTCTAAACAACAGAGGAGATATTCAGTTTCCAGTACGTTTCTGTAGCATGCCTTGATGTTTTTCTTCATTAAATGTACTATATGAATGCAGGTTGCTGGGACTTGATTACTGTTGCCTTGCATATATATAATTTCATAATTTATCTCATTTACAAACACTAATTT